CGTTTGTGTGCGTTCATTGAGAGAGCAGGACTTCAGCGTGTAGGGTGTGGAATAAACCATCGCATCAAATATGTAACTTGTGCTGTAGGGGTCGTTTATTAAATACCCTTTTCATGTAATAAAGTGTATATTGGGCAGACGGGCAGGTGTATTAATGTTCGAGCTCGGGAGCATTATCTGTCTTTGAGGTCTTCACCTTCGGGTCACCTAGCCATTCATTGTGACAGGTGTGGTTGTTCCCCTCGGTTAAGTGATATTGAAATTTTGGCTAAACATTCACAAAAGATGGCAAGGGAAATTAATGAAGCATTTTACATTCAACAACACGGTCCCGATCTATGCGTCAGTTCAGAGTCAGTGACGTTATACAGTGAAGAGTTTGAGTTTCTTCGGAGTTTGGGCACGTATGTTTAATACTTTCTTTCTGCGTCCGTGGGAGTGATCCTATATAAAGTCTCTGGATCCTAGGAAAGTAACACCAAGCTCCCCGTGTGGTCGCCATCTTGGTCCGTGAAATGAGCGATTTCTCCTTGACCCTCCGTTCTTGGTGAGCCGATCTAGATTCGCTGGTGACGGGTAGCTTTATGGTGTGGTTTTTTGTATACCGACATATTGCTAACCACACACCGGCGAAACAAGCGTACACCTTTGTACCACCACCAGATGCTGTGTCGGTGCTTTGAGGCACTGAAAAATAAGTTTACTGTATTGAAATACGCAAGAAGAACAATACAATTCTAAGAGATCCATGGAGATGCGCATGAATAATAAGTTGATTGCATGCAGAGTTCCGAAGACTCTTATATTGGCGAGGATCGCCTCCAGTACGATGATGCTCCATGGTAATCTTGGCGCGACTGGTTTAGAAGCACCCACTGGAAGCTTCGAAAATTTGAATGGACCAAGATGGCGATCTCCATGGCAACGTAGACAGATTATCCAATCGCCTTGCGAGGTTTGGGTCGTCTCTATGTTAGTATCCGTTTGTGTCCGGCTAGCAGGTAGGGAAGGCAATGGCGCTACTATAACCACAGGCGCGTGCCTACATGCAGCCAGAAAAGGGTGCCGACATACCAAGAGGCCGCGTGCTAGACAGGTACGCACAGAGCATTAGGGCTCGCGCTGTGGTTTTTGGCTTTGCTCAGACCTGAGGTGGAATGATGTATAGTTATATCTTTTCCTACTATTTACTTCCCTCTTTTTTAATTTTTTTTTTTGTAATGGTATATAATGTATAGTTTCTGTGAAAAATTCCTCAGATGGCATATGACAGAGAGGATGTCCTACATGCTGGATACTTCTTTTATTTTTCATTTCTTGTTTTCTTATGTTGATATGTTTTAAAAAGATGAGAAAGAAAGTAAGTCGTGAGTCAGCGCTGTGTCTGTGTCCCTTCTTCTACTTGTCCTTGTGTTCGTTTGCGCTGTTTTATTTCTATGTTTACAATGCATCACCGACTAGCCCACCTCCAAACATTACTGCAACTCTCTGTGGAAGTTCAGTGATGGCTTTAGTCGGCCTTAGATTGCTGGGTGTATGAGGATTCATGGAAGTAAAGAAAGTAGCTGAGTTTCAAACATTCCTCTTTCAGGTTCTTTTCCTTCGACTAAAAATTTTGCTTTTTGAACCGCAGTCTCAAGCATCTACAAACAAATCCATGTCCAATAGCTCTCCTGCACCCGACTGTTACCAAGCGAGGACCACGCAAAATAAACTTAAGTAACTAAGAAGTTAACGAGATCCTGATCTTCGTAAATATACTGTTTTTTCACTTTTAGAATTTCCCTCTTAGAAATACAATAACAATTATCACACCAGACGAAAAAAAATGGAACGCCATTCCTTTTTTTGTTCTAGTAAAAGTATACCGAGCTCCCGTTCCAGTTCCCCCAATGCAAAACGGAACGGCGGCGTTCCTTCGTTCCTCATAAAAAAAATATGAAAGCCGTTTACAACTCCCTGCAACGCAGATTTAGAGCGCAACTCTCGAGGAGGAGGAGGGAAGGGCACTGGGGAGGTGGGTCAAGTGACCTCGGGTGGCGGGGGGGTCACGTGACAATGCTGATGACGTCATCAGTGGCGTCACTGATGACGTCACTGGTGACCTCATCAGTGATGATGATGATGACGATGTGGATGCCGGTGACGTCACTAATGACGTCATCAGTGATGATGACGGTGACGATGCGGATGCCAGTGACGTCATTCGTGACGTCACCGATGACGTCATCAGTGGCGATGACGTCAACGGGGGTCATGTGACCTCGGAAGGGGCACGTGACCTTGGGAGGGGTTCACGTGACCTGGGTAACCATCGTGACTCTCGTGTGGGTAGCCGTAGTAACCCTCGTGAGGGTAACTCTCGTGACCCTCATGAGGGTAACTCTCGTCACCCTCGTGAGGGTAACTCTCGTGACCCCCATGAGGGTAACTCTCATAACCCTCGTGAGGGTGACTCTCATAACACTCGTGACCCTCGTGAGGGTAACCCTTTTGAGGGTAACTAACCCTCGTAACCCTCGTGAGGGTTACGAGGGTTACGAGGGTAACCCTCGTGAGAGTAACCCTTGTAACCCTCGTAACCCTCACGAGGGTTACGAGGGTTACTCGCGGTTACGCCGACGCCGACGGCGACGGCGACGGCGAAGGCGACGCCGCTCAAGCCGGGAACGGGCGCCTAAGAGCTGCGCTCTAAAGCGCGTTCGAGGAACGCCGTTCCGCACAACACTGCGTGGATGTTCGCGGCGCCGCGTCCAACGAAAGATGAGATGGTATTGCACAGATGAGTTTTTAAAAGAATGATGGTTATTAAAGGGATCTTGTGGACGAGGGTGAGGTGTTGGATGTTTTGGTTGAGCAGGGCAAAGTGCTTTATTCTTGCAGCGGTCTTCACAACGGTGGTCTTCGTGGTGCAGCCATGGGCTGCTGGTTTCTAGCAGGCCGGGCTTGAGCTCCCGGCGAAGGCTCCTCGCGTGCCCGGCTTGCAGATGTGCCAGCCGAATTTCTAGTGACGCAGAGTCCAGCATTCTAGTGGTGGGGCTCCAGGGGTAGCGTCGTTGTTGGCCGGGTGGCGGTCTTCGCGAAAACGGGCTATGAAGTCTCCCAGCTTGCCACTCCAGCTGGCTCCCCGGCTATGGGAAAAACACGTCTTACGACCAGCTGGCTTCCTCTTCTCCAATCTTAGACAATAGACGCTTTACACACGCGCCAGAATACAACCGCCATTGCTGACCTTCTCTTGTTTTACCTAGAGTCACTAAATAAGCTACGCTTATAGCCGCGTCCCACTAGAGCGACAGACAGCAACAAACGACAGCGACACACGACAACGAGCGACAGACGACACCGACGGACAGCCTGTTTGTCGGAGTCCGCCGTCCCACCTGGCGGACACGACGCAGAACACGGGAACAAGGAAACTTGTTTCCTGGTGGGACTGAAGTCGGCAACAAAACACGGCAAAATACACAGACAAACCGAGTCGGGCGACGCAGTCTTCCCGTTTTGCTAGATGGAGAATTACGCGCCGACAAACACGGCCAAAGAAGAGGTAATTATTTATGTGTTGATGTTTAATATACAGTTCCGGCTAATATTTTTTGTCGTTGTTTACTTCCGCGCTTCCCTCATGACCATCGACACCAAAATAAATCCGAAGCGTTCTTTGTGCGCGATCGATATAACTGATATAACCACGAGGATTGGAGATGGGTGCCCCAGCGTCAGCCACGCCAGAGTTCGACTCGGCGCTCGAAGCGACGTTGATTCAAATGGTAGAAGACCGGCCACTGATATGGGATGTGACCCACCCATCCTATCACAAAAAGACAACGAAAGAAAAGGCGTTCAGAGATATTGCCATCGCCCTGGGCTTCGACGGCAACGGTATGTACTCATTGGTTGTGTTTTCTGCGATTAAAACGTCCGGAGTTGAAACATCTACGCACCATTCAGCCTTCTTTCACGCTCGAACTAAAGTACTGTATTCGAGATTGTTTGAAGTTGTTTACTGCGCTGGCGAGCGCTAGCAAGAAGGTAGCCGCATGCGCGATCTCATCGCGATCGCAGTGCGATTAAATCGCTAGTTTGACAGCACTCGCGATTTGATCGCGATGCGGTAGCGGCTGCAGCTGCTCAGAATCACTGTAACTTCACGCGCATTTAATTACGCAATTTTGTGACCGAAAAGCTATCGCGCCACCGCTGCGACTCGCCTGTACGCGCGCCTCCGGAGTGCACATAACTGAATATGACCACGAGTCTAATTTACACCAAACCACATTTATTCGTCCAGTTTGGTCGACAATTTACAATGTCAGCGAATGAAATATGGTGACACAGTTGTAGCATTTGTATACATTTTGATACTTTGATAGTTCTAACAAGTAGTTTAAACATGGCTTGAAACACTCAACAGCATAAAACGAGGTGGCAAGATATATGGAGTGTGAATATTTTGTTTTATTGCATTGCAGTGGAAAAAGTGAAGAACAAATGGGCAAATATGCGGTCCCAGTACCAGAGGGAAAACCGCAAGGTCAAGGATTCGAGCCGCTCTGGTGCTGGGGCCGATGACATCTTTGTTCCCAAGTGGGCGCACTACAAGAAAATGAGGTTCTTGTCGGCTGGGGCTCCTGAAGCCCAAAGCGAGTCGACACTCGAGACCTCCCAGGAGGAAGTGGTAAGTGCCCATTTTGGAGGGACCTTCTTTTAATCGGGAAGGAGCAACACAATTCAGAACACATATCTGTGCCACTTCATTCAAGGCATCGCCCAATAATTGACTCTAACAGGATGAGCACCTTTACCCTTAATAATTCCTTAGCACATAGTTGCATGGGCAACACAAGTGTTGGCTTCAGCAGATGTGCCAAATCTACAGGTCACGGCTCACACTCAAACAATGACAAAAAAGTTCTTTAAAAAAAAGGCAGTTTATAGAGATTATCACTGTTCCAGCCAACAAACTGGAATATGGAATGATTGCATCTGTGCTCCATACACATTTCAGGGGATCCTTTCTCGCCAAATGAATTACCTCTGTATACCTTAGCTTTCGTAATTGATAATTTGCGATACATTCGTTACACACACTCAATTGTTCTCATGAAAAGCTTTCTTTGTCAGGCTTCTGGTTTCAAATATGCATGTGTACTTTAGAGCTTGTGAATACGAGAATAAAAGAGAAAACACCAAATAATACAAGAAGTGGGATAAAAAAATTATGTGCAGGATGATAGCCTCGAGCCGATTTATGAGCCGAGTGAAGAAGCTGTGCAGTCAGCGCCTCCACCCTCCAAGAGGAACTGCCGCCGCACGGAGGAGGCGGCACCGAACAGGGCGGTGCTGCTGCAGGCAGCTGTCGACAGCTTGAACGCTGCCAAGGAGCCGCCGCAGCCGGACGAATGCAGGAGCTTCGGCGTTATGATGGAGTGCTGCGCCCGCAGCATACCAAGGGGTGCGGACAGGCAGATGGCCATGCTGGCCGCCCACAGAATCATGGTGGAGAATTCAATCGCAGCCAGTTTGGTCGTGGTGCCTGAAGGAGAAAATTAAAAGTTTCAGTTTGAGCTTTATATGGTTTTTTTGTTCCACAATGCCCCACACTTTCTCACTGGTTGTGTGCGGTGCTGAAAAAAGGTACTCAGCAGAACATGCACATTTGTGATAAGCTCTGAGGTGGACCCACCCGTGCCCACACTAGGTACTTTTCTGTTTTAGTGCTTGTGCCTTCTGCACTGCTGCACAAACGTGCTCGGGCTAAACAGTCAAATGGGTTGAGGGAGAGGACACGGGCAGTCTACAGCAAAGCTGTAAACTGCCGGTGCAGAAAAAGCACACAGCAAGACAATATATCAAATTCTACTGCAAGATAATGAGCTTTGCGCATGCTCAGCAAAGAACTTTTCTCCGTGCACAGGGACAACTCCCCTTCCAGATAGAGATAGTCCATTCACAGGCAAAAACAAGGCAAATTGGACGTGTCAAGTGTTTACACAACATAAGGCGAGTCCACCTTTAAAATATGATGACACTGGTTCTGTGCTACAACTGCTAACCTGGGGGGTCTTTATCATGTATCGTGGAGTGACAACAGAACCGCATGCTCGTGCCATGCTCGTCCTTATTGTAACAAGCAGGAGTGGGAATTGAACCAAGCATCATTCTGTTCTTCAGTGCAAGCCTTCAGTCCCTGCAATCGCTGGGCACAGTGTAGCAGATTTAGCTCGAATAAGTCTGGAGACTAAAACCGGACAACAAACTGCCACATTGTCAGGCTCCTCGCCCTTGTCAAATAGTTTTCTTTTTTTTTTTTTCTGTTGTTTTGTGTTGAGGTGCACAGGCCAACTGTGTGCATGTTGCATGTTGCATTTTCACAGCTACAGTGTTAAAGGGATGCTGAACCGAAATTTTTGGGTGGAGATTCTTGGTCGCAATGGCATACATAGCCTGTCCTTTACTTCTAAATGACGTTGTTTTGAGCAAGAAGGCGTATAAAATTGAATAAACACGAAAAATACAATTTTACGCGACCCCTGGTGAGCGTCGTGGAAAGCTCGCTTCGTGACGTGCGCATTCTCATTCGCCTCAAAAGACAGACGGAGCCAAGCCAGGCGCTAAGCCGGGTGGCATTTGTTATTGTTAGTACCGGTTGCTTAGAAAACAGCCGCCGAGCGAAGAATCAAGGGGAGCACCAACGAACGAGGAGAATGCGCGGAGGCACCAGGGGCGCAGATGGCACCGAGAATGCGCACGTCAGTTCTGTTACGCCTGCTCTCAGAAGGACTCGCTCGCGCCGGCGGCTTCCAGCCGAGGATTCACTCTTAGTTCAAAGAAATACAATAATTCGGGCCCCATCCGTCTGATTGAATATCGTTTTTAGGTACAGTACGATCCCGTAAAGCCCGCTCGGGCAATAATTATGAGATTTCAAGTATCGGTTCAGCATCCCTTTAAACTTGTTTCATATGCTGGAGTGTCATGTCTCTAATTTTGGTTGGTGTTGCTGCTATCAACTCTGCTGCGGTCACACTAGCCACCCTGTTCAGTTGGTGTAGGATCCAACATTGCACACACTTCAAGGATCATAAATAATTTGTGGTTCTTCGTGTACAGTAGAAGTTCATTGTTGTCAGAACTGCCTGATGGGGCCCGAAGAGTTAAGAACAGCACTAACAAATTTCTATGCAACTCTGTGGTGTCAAATTGGGCTGGTATTGGGTGAGCTTTCACAAACTAGTAGTACCCTAAGTACAGTAGCACACTTGCTAGGCTGATGTATAAGCCAAGCAGGTGTGCTGCTATGGTACTTTGTGGCACTAAATTGGCGTCCTCTAGCTGCGATGCCTATATTCGCACACCATGTAGACAAACCAACAAAACACCGTAAAAACTTATTCTTCCATTTTGTTTTGTCTCTAACCGGCTAGCAAGTAGGATGAGAAAACTGTTGGATTATTTCGAAATGGTTTAAGATTATTAAGAGCGCAGGATCGCACATGAGTGAATTCAGACGGTGGGCTTGAGCGCATGCGCTTATCTTCGATGGATATAAATAGAATGGTATGTCTTGCAGTTCGGGCAGCCTTTTCTTTTACTTTTCTGCTTTCGGAGAGCAACAAACTTCTTGAAAGCTACAACACCTAAATTTTTATACATTATACTCAACTGTTTGGCTATACAGATGGCCTGTTGGAGATGCTATATATCTTATTAGCAACCAAAATTAAGCGAAAACAATAGTAAGGACGCAGTCGAGCTTGGAATCAGCAGTCATACTTAGATATGCCTGACTATGTATAGACAAAAAAATCTACATGAAAAGAGGGACACATGCAAAATGAAGTCGGCATAGGTGTCCTTTTTTTTCTCAGTGTTTACCTACAATGTCTTGGGTTGCAGATAATGACGGCTTCAGCGGACCTGAGTAATGTCGTAATACCCCAACAACTGTTTTAATGGATGCTACTTCGTTCCTGCATACAAACATGACATACCGTTACTCCAGCACCTTCCACTGCCAAGAAACCTGGCCTTCATTCATGAAGTAGTCTCTGAAGACCTCACGAACAGCCTTGGCGTCGTCTGGTTGTCTGCCACCAATGCGCTCCAGGGGGAAGACTGCTTTGTCGTTCACACCCTTTCTCCAGCTGCCTTGACGTACAGTGACTGAAACAAGTGAAATGAAAATTAATATTTTTTTAACGCATTCACCACCAACTAGCAGTATTAGAGATTAACCGAGTCTTTACTACAAGTTGCAAAGACCCTCACAAAAGAACCACGAATGCTATGAGGCTGTGGAGTAGAGTTTATCTGATGCCAAGCATTTGCAAGGCATGAGCGCTGCCAGGAAAAAACGGCTGCACAAAATGTGAAGGAGAGCAAGGAGTGCATGGCACGACACCAATATAGCAAGGAATGTTCACATACAAGCCAATAAGTATTGTCCAGCTATAGCAGAACTAGAATGGCACAAGCAGCTTGCTTATAATGGTGTTGCTTTAGATGGGCTGTTAAGTTCAAATGTGGCATGACCAGCTATGTCCACATGCGGCTCTGCACATCTTGCTTTCTTTGCATTTTTCTTGCACGCCATGCATTGCAGAATTCCTAAATAATAGCAAATTCGGGTAGTCAATCGCTGGCGAGACTGAGCGGGCGGAACCGGCAACCAGAAACGCGCTGGCGGCACACCACGTGACCCTCAGCGCCCGAACACGAAACGCCAGACAGTGGCGTTTACCTCGCCTGCTGTTCGCGCGACACTGCTAGCAAGAGGCTATTGCTGCCGTCACCCATGCTCCAACGGCTTGGATTGACTTGAGCAGTGGCTGCTGAAGTGACTTCAGATGAGTTTAATTCTTTCGTTCATTTTTTTCTCACTGACCACTGAAAGCGCCGGAAAGTTGCCGTTGCTTGCCGGAGAACCACCACCCGAACGGTGCGCGCCGGCCGGAAACTGATTACGGGAACACTATTGCCGGTTTTCCGGCAAAATAAGTTGCCGGCGACTGACCACCCAAATTCGCCATAAGGAACTTATTCCATACGGCACTTATTGCTGTGCAAGAGGTCGGCACACTCTTTGGAGGGAAATTGTGTTGGAATGAAAAAAGCCACGAGCTGACTGTTGTTCTCTTGGCCATAGTCATTTCAATTCGAAGGAACGCATACGTCTTTCCACAACGGTATGTTTCATGGATGTGAAACCGGTTAAACAGTAACATTAGATCTTTCGATGTGTTGCAGTCGCATTAGTGCACCGAATAGTGCTGTTTACATTCAGAAATAGCTGCAAGCAATAATAATGAGTGGCATTGCCATGGCTGCTGACCAGAAGAATTGGGGGACCCTCGCTAGAGCACTACACATTTTGATTGTGAGCAACACGCTGGAGATGTGTCTAGTTGTACATTACGCAACTATTGAAAATTGAAAGCGACATATCTACAACAGTTGAACAGCTAATTTCGCATTTACCTGTGAGCACGTCTTCAACATCAAGGCTGTCGGGTGGTGTGTACCTTGCCCGCGTGCCGTTCTTCGTCCGAAGGTAGTTGTGTAAGGCAATAGTCGCCTTCACAACCTTCACCGCTCTATCCGGCTTGTGACGAAGAGGAGCCCCATAGACTTGGAATCTGTTCCGGAGAATGCCGAAGCCGTTTTCAACAATTCGGCGTCCCCGGGAAAGCCTGTAAAATAGATTGTAATCTTGTTCAATCAATGAGGAAAAAAGGCAAATTAGCTAGAGTGTTGCACTACCCTAAAGCACACACATAGAAAGATGCCAGTGGTTCACTGATTGCTAGGGTGACTGCTGAAGCTGTGGATGACACTCTGCTATTTGACTTTCAGCAATATTGCTGTGCGCAGGGCCGAGCAAGTAACACTAGGTCACAGACTTCTAAAAGATTTGTAGTTATTCTTGCTCGGGATGTAACTGTTATCATTTTGTCCAACTTCCTTGTTCTTGAAAATGCCTGTTCATCCTCACCCCGAACACTCATACCTTTTGGGCCGAATTTTCAAGATGCTAACACACACTATACTCCGTGTCACAATAACTTGGAGAACTGTGGAGGCTGCAGCCGCCGCGACCCAATAAGGGTATCTGAGCAAGGCATGTGACAGCACTCCAAGGCTGCGGAGGCCTCGTTACCACAACAGCAACAGCGGCCTACACAACAAAAAGTAGTTCCAGGCATTTTTTTTTATTTTAACGGCAACTGAAGTTGCGTCATTACACTACGCTACACTACACGGAAAAAAGACGAAGATATGTTACTTTTAAAGAATACTTAGAGATGCTGACACCCCCAAAATTTATTTTTTGTTAGGTAATCCATTATGGTGTCAAAAAAGCTACCCAATCAATATTTTGCTACAGCATCACATATATTTTTTAATAAAGTTAAAAAATGCAACTGTTTGAAACTGAAACCAAAACTGGACTGGGGAGGAAGAAGAAATTAAGAGGAAAAGTGTGTGGAAGCCAAAGTGTGTTGGCAGAAGTCACGTGTCTGTGCAACTTTTATTTTTCATTCAACATATTTGAAGCCTTTTAAAAGCCACAAAAAATGAGTATCATATTTTTATTTTATTTTTTTTTTAATATTGAGAGTGCGTCTTCGATGACCCACGACTCTGATTACCTTTGGTGGTTGCATCTAAACCACAGGAAATAGCATGTGACCACGGAGAAGAGAGTGAGCGCCACATGTTTGAACGATCACAGCCCTGTCGTCGACCACTGCCACTCAAAATGTCGCACCCGCCACAGATTCACGGATAAATTGACTGTATGTCTGTCTCATGAACTGTTCTCAAAGACCTCGCTACTCTAGCGGAACGCAATGTTGCGGCGGTAGACATTCATTCCGAGTTGGTTAGTATCGCAGCAAACGACTCTTTGCCAGCAGACGACAGCTGGTTCCTTCAGGCCTAGCATTTGGTGCAGTGACACGAATGCCACCGTGACGTGCTGTCATGTGCCTCACTCCAACGTCCTTAGTAGGTCACGGGGGCCGTAGCCTCCATGGTTCGCCAAGTTATCGTGAAACGAAGTAAAGCTAAATAGCTGCACGGGACCTTGACGAGTCAGACTCGCTTCAGCGCTCAACCCTTGTGGTTACACCAACTTCGACGCTTGGGACGCTACTGTTCCTCTTTTGTTTACCCGGCACAAGTTCGCCACATTAAATGTTCAGTATCTTTTATTTATCACTTAATCAATTATCATTTGTGACAATATATTCACACCCTTACTGATTGCTTATCGCCATGGCTGTGCTACTTAACTCTCTTCAGCTTGGCCCACACTGCACTCCCCAAACAAATTCAACAGGTCTGGGATTTTAAGAAAACAAATTTGCAGCAAAGGGGATATTAAAATAATAAAGATACCATTTCGGCTGATAACAATAAAAATAGCAAAGCACACCATCGTGCTTGCAGCGTGTAACTTCGCTCAAATAAGAAAAAGTTACTTTCAGCAATTTTGCTGGCGAGATTGACATACAGTCGTAGCATTCTGATGGGGCACATGTGTTGCCCATGTGAAACTAGTATTCTTTATTAACACCAATTCCATCTTTTCGCCTGTCAGGTATCCCTTAATTGTTTCAATCTAGAATTCAGTGAAGCGTGGTTCAAGCCTAACAGAGGTCTGTCATTTTAAATTTTACAGTGCAAAAAGAGAAGAAATTGCTCTCGCTTACCAATTGACAATTACAACATGTGAACCACGCGTAGGGACACAATTGCACGTGGTGACTGCTGAGAGACAAAGACGTTTATTTGCGCGTTTTTGATTCCGACTACGGAGGGCTGGCGACGCTGCTTGTGCCGGTAATACATATGATGATGCCGCTGGCCACACAACACACTCTTTCAGCGCAGCTGCTTTTTCTTGTCAAGCTGCCAGCCCTCTGGGGAGGCCTCTCAACTCCATGTTTTTATGGAGCCTTTCATTTTTTTGGTTTAGCACACAGAAAAGGACGCCCATGAAATGCATGGATGACAAATGTGGCAGACACTCCCATAGGCAGCCGTGACGGTATGTATGGATGGCACTTTGTTGTTGGCCGTGGTATGCTATTGTTATCCTCGTAACTCGGAAATGCAAGTAAACTGGCAATATGCACTGACAGCAGCATAGTGATCACAGCATATTGTGAGCTCACCGATAGTTGAAGATCCTTTCGGCATCTTCCAGCTCTGACGCTGGAAACGGCCGCATCAGGTATGGCTTCATGCCGAACCCTTCGTCCCCCACGATGACGAAAGGTGCCGTCTTCGTTGAGTTTGGCAGCTGGGCTGCTTTCGGAAACTCAGCAATGCCCCGGTCAATACGTGCCCGTAGATCCGTAGCAGCCCATACACCACTGTCATTCATACGACCATTCCTACCCACATCAGCGTACAGGAACTTCAGATCAGAGTCCACAAGGGCCATCAACACAATGCTGAAGGTACCCTTGTAGTTTCGGTACATAGCTCCTGTACCCTGAGGTGGGCAGATCGTGACATGCTTCCCATCTAAGGCACCCAGGCAGTGAGGGAACTGCCAGATTTCTTCGAAGCCTCGGGCAACTTGCTCCCACTCGCCTGGTGTTGATGGCACCTTGAATGGAATAGGGAATTATGTTTGTCAAGTATGACGCAACATAGAAATAACTCTTTACTTCTTCTACCAAAAGAACCGTGAAGTTCACTTGAGTGTTATCATGAAAAAGTATATAGAAATATTATGCCTGTAGCTTCATCAAACAGCACCGATATGCCTCTTGGATCCAGTCAGTGGAATCCACTAAGTTGACACTTATTAAATGGCATAGCCAAAAAGTCGACAAGCACGTTCTGAACTAATGTGTTTGCATATTCCACTTGTATGTTCCATCAATGTGCATAGAAAGTGACAAAATTCGCAAGGTAACAGGGACAGATATTGTCACAAATAACTGGTGACAAGAAGAGCTGAATTAAATAATTCTTTAATGGGGGTGAACTTGTGCCCACAACAAAAGAAAATAACTGCGTCGCAGGCTTCGATTGTCGGCGTGACAGCAAGGTTGAGCGCTGGAGATTGAATGATTCTGTACAACCATGTGGGGTTCGTTTTATTGCCGCTTCGCTTTCTATAACATTCCTACTAGAACATTTGGCCCTAGGACATTCCTACTAGAGCAAAAGACAACAGCCTTGAATTTTCTAGGACATATGTTTTACAAGTTAATAAACAAAAATTGCTGCCGGTTTCGGGATTCGAACCCGGGACCTCTGCATGGCAGCCAAGTGTGGTTCCCACTCGGCCACTACACATGCATGCAGCAATGTAACAGAATGATCAATACTTCGGCATCAATACTATAATGGTGTTAGTGTCCATCGCACCTCTAGTTTCAGTTTTGGCATTCCTCAGTCTAATAAATTCGGAAATTTGAACAGACCCACACTTTTTTAACTCCATGGTTCGATTATCGAAGCCTAGATGCAAGAAAAGCTTGTATTATCTCTAGTTTATTTCACTTAGTGTAGAAATATGTGGTAATGAATAACTCGAAAGCATCGTCGCCAGCTTATATTCGTAATATTTTGTTATTTGCATTACTCCGTACAAATGAAAGAGCAGTTCAGTGTATACGTAGTATGATGCATTACCTCTGTCTTGCTGGCTGAATTATGGAGGGGTTAATGAGTTAATGTGAAGCATGTAAGGATTGCTCTCATTATGCTGACAACAAATCATGTAGGAAAAATCTACCTTTATGTAGTCGGAGGCCAACACTTCATAGATGGCGACGCAAACGTCCCGGACTATCTTGGAAATGGTATTATGCCCCCTTCTAAACTGGAAACCCATGGAGGCGAAGGTTTCCCCTGTAAGCAAGAAATCATAGCACCGAGATCAGAAATGCACAGCACAGAAACAAGTATACCATCATGAAACACGAGAGTACAGCGTGTTTCACCTAATATTGCAATTGCTTTCTTTCGCAAACCTCAATCACGTGCTAAAATACTTAATCGTGACTTGGCTCCTATTAAAATTGAGAAATTGAAGACTTCAAATTCCCATGCAAACGTTACTCCACAAGAGTCGACCGTGCATGAATACCACGAGCGATAACTAGCACTGCCAGTATGATAAAGAATATCAAATCGATGCATCCGGAAACCGCAATATTTTATTTCACAAACGCCGCCGCGTTCGTGTTTCAAAATAAAGTTTGGACTGTAAAATTGCTTGTGAAAATCAGGAACTCGACGCATTAGGTAGAAACTTACCCCGAATACGTCTTATACTTGCCGGATTCCAGCAAAAAATTTTAAAGTCTCCACTCACACTCCAAACAAAACAAAAAAACAAAAAACAAAAAAAAAAAGCCCCAAATTGGTGTAATTTTTTTTCTTCTTCTGTATGTAGAAACTTGAAATTTGAACGCATACGTGGGAGTAGTGAAATATGTATTTGAGGTAAGTTCAACCTTATACGTACAGTTGCTGATTTTTTACGGGCCATTAATATTAGCTTGTAACTTTGTTTGTAGACAGTAAAAGAGGATTGACTCAATGTATCAAGTTGAAGGTTACCTCGAATATATAATTTACTAGTCCCATTTACACATTAAAATTCTAAGCCATGTGCAAAAAAATAAAAAAATAAAAACTGTCTCATTTAGTAACATGGGACATTGTTGTTCTTTATTTTTATTTTAATATGTTTGTACTTCCAATCGAAGCTTAAATTTTTAATGCGTCAATCTGACCAATAAAATAAGTATTCGAAGCAAGTTTCTACTTGATGCGTCGAGTTCCTGATTTTTGCGGGTGATTTTAGAGTCAAAACTTTAATTAAAAAAAAAACCCTGACGATCTGATGTCTTTTCCTTTATGTTTCGATGTGCATGTCTGAATGCGACCAAGATTAATTTTTCAGATATACGTGAAATCGACAAAACAAATGTTCGAGGAAAAAAATAAATAAAAAAAGAAAATCTACACTGGGTATCGAACCCGCGAACGCTACGTCTGACGCGGATATCTTACTCGCTAAGCTACGTTCCCGCTGCAAAGAATTCGCTTTGAGAATTCGTTTTATGCGCAACCTTCGGACGGCACTTGAAGGCGTGAGTGGAATGTCGTCGGATGGCACTTGAACGCTCTCCAAGAGCGCCATCGGACGGTACTTTAGACACTAACACTATGTTGTTCAAAAGCAAACTCTGTGCGTAAACAACATTCTTCGGTTCGCTCTTGCTACATGACTTACCAGTGGCGAGGTATCGCAGCGTGATCGCCAGCCTTTCGCCTGCAGGGATGGCTTCGCGGAATGACGTATCTTGTTTCTCGATGAGCGGTCTCACCTTCCTCAACAGTTCTTCAAATGTTCCGGTGTCCATGCGTATCCAAGAGCGGAACGCCTCGGCGTCTTCTAGCGCTAACTCACGCATCAAGTTAGCGTAGCAGCCCTGCTCCCGGTGTCGGCGCAGGTAGGGCTTAACCCACATCCTTCGTTTCGTTGGCAGCTCTTCATCCTCACTGGAGGATAGGGCCTCAAATAAAAGGAGAGCGGCCACAACGGCTCGTTTTTCCGGACAAAATGCCATACCAAATGAAGGCGCTCGATCGGCTCGATGCTCGATCGGCTCGATGTCGAAACGCGAGAGGGAGCGGACGCGAATGCGAGCGGGCGAGGGCAAGGCGTATAGTTCGTCGGACAGTGTTCGTAGGTGGGACTGCCGCTTCGCGTTCGTGGCGGTACGAGTCACACGACAAACAAGAACTGTTCTGTCGTCGAGTGTTTCTCGGCGTTTGTCGGTCCCGTTTGTCGCTGAGGTGGGACGGTATCAGCGACACACAACTTTACCTTGTCGCCAGACAAAATTCGGTGTTTGTCGTTCTAGTGGGACGAGGCTATTAGAGTATCGGCACTCCGTTCCCCGACATTGTTGTGGGCGCCGCCATTTTGGCTCGTATGCAGAGCAGACGCAACAGCCGATCGTCATGATTCAAAACTGCGACTTCCTCAGCATTAGATTCGGTGTTAGGAAGGTAATGTAATATTGCTTTGCTCTTGTCGCGGACGGTTTAAACATTTGTGGAGGGCGGAAAAGCATTTCCTGTGATTTCAGATAAAGCTTCAGATAACTGGCAACCATGATTTTAAGCCACAATATGGCCAAGTGTCGTTACTCTGAAGCGTAGCTTATTTAGTGGCACTAGTTTTACCGAGATACCGAGGCACTGAAATTGGTGTGGACGAGCCTCCACAAAAGCCAATGCTGGGGAGAAAGACAGATTAAAATCTAAAATTGCAATAACCTAGCCTGCTATGGTAATAATGAAGTGAAGTAAACGTAATAAGGGGAAACAAAAACTGAAGGTCAGTTATGGCGGTGCCCATGCACAGCTGCTGCAAAGCGTCTATAAGGTACCATTCAGCCAGAGCTACTAAATGAGCTGCGCTTAGAGTATCGGCACTCCGTTCCCCGACTTTGTTGTGGGCGCCGCCATTTTGCTGCTTGTGCAGAGCAGACGCAACTGCCGATCGTCATATTTCAAAGGTGAGTCTTCCTCAGCATTCGATTCGATGTTAGGAAGCTCACGTAATATTGATTTCCTTTGTCGCGAACTGTGTAAACATTTGTGAAGGACGGAAAAGTGTTTGCTGTGATTTCAGATAAAGCTTCAGATAACTGAAAACCATGATTTTAATCCACAATATAAGCAAGTGTCAGTACTCTGAAGCGTAGTTTATTTAGTAGCACTACATTCAGCGAAACAGCGCGAAGGCCGGAGCAGCGAGCACTAAGAATTACGAATCAACACTCTATTCCGATGATAATAACAATGAAGATGCAAGCTTCATGCCGCGGGCTCACACTTGACAGCGTGCTTCGAAGCATTTCTGTTTCCGTTCCTGGTTTAGTTGTAAGCGCCGAATGCGGAGATCTAGATAACTGACTCGCCACTTTTTTTTAGTGCTGGGCAGCCTAGCGTTTCGACAGGCCAGAGCAGAGCGCGCAGAAGATCTTGGAGGCCACGTTCTTGGCCCTGCAAGGGCCCTTGACGTCATGAGAGCGATACGCATTGCGCTTCGCTGGCCGATTTTGAAGCGAGTGGTATAAGAGCTCGCGGTTACGTCATTTCGTTTCCGTATGCCTTTAGGTGAGTTGATATGTCCATGTGCAATACATCTGCCGCGTATGATATAAAAGGCAACGAGGTAGAGGGGCTTAGAGTGATAAACCGGAAGTTCGGAAGTGGCACCCTCTCGGCTGCCGCCATGTTGTACGCAAATGTGACCACTCGTCACGTGACCTCCCAAGAGCCGTGACGTCACCGGTAAGATGGCAGCGCCCAGAGCTGGTGGATGCGCGTTTGTTCGGCGCGCGGTAGCCGTGATGTGCAGCTGCTTTCCGACGACTTCGGGCTTCTTCGTCCCCGCTAACGCAGGTATAATGTGGCAATATGAAGGAATGAGACTTTATACCTTTTTTTGCGCAAGATCGCTCTGGATGATCTGGATATTAGAGAGTTTTAGAATAGCGCACGCTAAAGCTTTGCGCACGCAAAGAATAGCGTCGTCGCTACTGCGCATGCTCCGAACGCAAACCAGGTTTCGCGCCTTGCGTTCGCAATTTTAGCGTGCGCTATTTCTCGGAAATAGCGTGCGTACGCAAAGAGTCTTTGCGCTTCTCCAAGGAGGATTCTGGATGAGAAGTTGGCTAAAGCCAAGACGAGCAGAGTTTAAAAAAATGGCGGCTTCCAGGATTATGTCGGCGGCTGCTTTGGCGGCGTCGTGAGTGCGACGTCGGCGGCATCTTCGCGACTGCGAATTTCAATACGGGACGACATTGTGCTCGGTTTGGCAACGATCACCGGCAACTTGATGCTTGCGACGCGCGAACGTTTCTCGGCGAAGGTACGGTGTGCGAAGGTCAGTACACGAGACCTCTCTTGCCGAGGCGACGCAAGCAGACACGACCGGTCAACCGCTCGCGTCGCATTCTCATATTTAAACAAATCTAAAATTGTACTCTAGACCAAAAAAACTTGTTTTTTTCTAAAGTTATAGCATTTCGTGTGTGAATTAAAAATTGTGACTGTATCTTGGTGGCGTTGCAAGCGCGAGATGCTTGGGCTTTTGCGTCGCGACGGAGAAACGCTATTCTAAAACTCTCTCGCGTCACGTGCGCTAATACAAGCGCTAAATTTAGCGCTAGCGTGCGCTAAAATTGCGTACGTTATTCTAAAACTCTCTATTAACACCTATGAGACAGCGTCAGCCGTATCGCCGTACCGGTGCTCGGACTCCCGGATGTGTTCAAGGATCGATAGAACTTTGAGTACGTTTAGCATAAAATGTTCCTATTCTCTTAGCTTTGTTTGAACGTTGGAATGCTGAGAATCGGCGCGAAATGTATGCGTCGGACGTAGGGCCCAGGGAAATTTGTTTCAGCCCTAGGCAACTGCATAATCGCAGCAAATTTTAGGGAGGAAGCTCTTCAATAGACTTATTTCAAAAGTGTGGGCCGCCTGTACTTTGTGTCATCATAACTTGGAAAAGGGTGACCGTCACAGCCCCCTCAACCCAATCGGAGAGACGGAGTGAAGGTGTGTGACAAATCTGTGGAGATGAGCACTATGATGATATGTTGTCATGTGCCTCTCTCCAACGTACATACTGAGTGACCAAGACTTTGCCAAATTCTGATGAAACTGATTACAGTAACTAATACTTTAATTGCCCAAGGCCTTCGTACTTTGGGCATTTGTTCGACAAGAATGTTATGTCAGCCATCACTGTGAACTTGGCTCAGCGCCTATTGGACTCGAATGCCGCATTAGCCTTCGACGTGAACTGGGGCCCATTCGTGTGCTTTACGCCGAAAACAATTCGTGACAGATGTGTTGCTTGATGGGGTTTTGCAAAAAGTCTATTGTGTCATATGTATAGGAAGTGTCCTGCTACATAATCATGATTACATACTATTAAACTAGATGCTCAGAGGTGTGTTTGTTTTTGCACTCAAGTTGCAGCAATAATTATTGGTTACGAGTATAATATTTATTTTCGGTAGCTGGGTTCGGTTTGTGATTATTAATGTTCGTGTGTTTGATGTTATCATGTGAGTAACTTGAAGTATCCTCTCTGCGATGCCTACTGAGACCCTTGGAGGAAATAAATTATTAAACAACATTTTCACATCACTGGAGTTGGTTTTCGGATGCGCCATATGTTCAGGAGAAGTGGAACGAGTGCAGCCCCATGCAGCCAGTCTGCCAGTCTGGTATGTGCCATCAATTAATATTGAGGGGTCAGAGATGCGGGTGTCCTCAAAAGGTCCAGCACGTGCCGTGAACATAATTCTTTGTGTGGAGACTCGGAAGGCTTAAAGGCGCGCGGAAATGTGTTTAGCTGGTTAGTGTATCAAATTTGTTTATTTCCATTTAATTACATAATTATTGATTCTTAGATATTGAATCCAATACGAGTTCTTTCTGGGACAGTCTTGTGTCAGGCGTTCAGTCGTAGTACTTGTGCTCCTTGTTGTCGGATGACGCTCCTGGCACGTCGGTGTTCAGTTTGGTCGAGTGGCAACTTTGACCGACAGATGCCGTCTTGTAATCATACGTCATGTACGGCCACTGACATTTGATGCACTGAAGCTGCAAAGCTGGAGTTTAATCCGCAAATTTTCCTGGTTGTTCTCTGCGCCAATGCAGCACGTTCGGGCATGTAGTGCTTACGTGGCTGTGACTTTTGCTGTAATGTGACTTGATGGCTGGCAACAGGCAACAGTGTTTGTTTGTTATCCAAGCCATTTCACTTCCATTTAATAATGGCGATCTTTTCTGCATTCCGCGACCACTGCAACTTGTGTAAGTCTCGTGTGGCGAAGTGAAATCGGGTGATGCTTGGTGTCCCCTTTTGAGAACAACCACCTATTCTATTTCTTCTAGTCACTCAGCGGCATTGATCATCGTCTCAAGGTCGGCATTCCTCACTGTGAGACATCAGCATACAACGACTCCTTCATACCAAGAACGTCTTCTGAGTGGAACCACCTTCAAGTATCTTTAGCAGCTATCCCATCACTTGATTTATTTAAAAAAGCGCTTACGAATTACTTTTGTTAATATTTTGTCGAGTTGACTGTGTTTTAATCACTGCCTTTTACGTTTGTATTTTCTTTTGAGTGAATTCTTATATGCCCCACCCCCTCTGTAATGCCCCATGGGCCCTGAGGGTATTGTAATAAATAATAAATAAACACCAAATCAACTGTCCTTGCATTACCGCTCACCTGCCTTGTGCTTAGCTATCGTCAAGGTGATGGGGATCAGGAGCTTCGGGGTAATGTCAGCACCAGGAGCAAAGGCCACCGAAAGATTATTCTCAATGCGCCGCGGACGCTCCTCGAGACGTGGTCGAAGGTAGTTCGGCACAAAGTCTTGCAGGCCAATTTATTGGTACGGGCACCTCCAGTACACATGGTTGGCCACATTCAGTGGTAGCAGAGTGGTTTTTGGTCGACCATTCGCAGCACCTCCGTTTTCCTCGGTGTACTTCGTTCAGCGAGAACCTACACTGGTTCTTTCCGATGTCAAGAAAGCTTCGGCGTTGGGGTAGCCGGTGGTGGACGTCGTGACTTTGTGGCATAAGTCGCCCTCGGT